GAACAATTTATAAGGCAGCATATGAAAAATAAAATGATTTTCTTTAATAAGCGACCATCCACAGGACACCTTGGATGCCCATCTGGCTAAAAATCTGGTCAGAATACTACACTGTTTGGCATACATATACAGTCGAACCTGTATAAAATGGCCCTGTATTAAGTGGCCACCCTCTATTAAGCAGCCAGTTTTCAAAGTCCCGATTTTTCGCTCGACATGCAAATGCTGAATTTTTTACCTGTATTAGGTGACCACCTCTATTAAGCGGCCACAGCCACTCTGTAGGAGTCCTATGTTTGTCTTTCCTTGTTATTTTACCTGTAGTAAGTGGCCACCCTTGAATATAAACTAAGCCACATGTAATTTTATGCAGTATTTTATTGTGTTTAAAATGCGATCCGTTATCACTATAAATAAGTAACATGTATAAAGCTACTGTAAGCTGATAATCAACTGTTTAGTGTCATTAACGCTTTCCAGATGTCCGCAATGTGCTGAAGTACAGTACCATATCATGAGACCACGCCCAGTGAGTACTTTTAGTGATCCTGTTTTAAGCGGCCACTTGTATTAAGAGGCCAGTTCCTCAAGTCCCAAGGGTGGCTGTTATATACAGGTTTGACTGTATAGCAAATTGCGAGTGCAATTTAAAAGAATATTCAAACATCATGAGAAGTGTAATTCCTTAATAGCTTAAGTATTCATATGATTACTCACTTATCACATGACTGAGAAATTACAGATGCTTTAATTTGCAATGCAGTGCAAATTAAAAAAAAAAAAAATTGGCCTGCTCTCAGCCAGTCACAATGAAAAAATTTTCTCCATCATATACTTAAGAGTTTAACCATCTTTGGAAACCTTGCAAAACCTTTATGCAAACAAAAACATCTGATAATGCAGTACTCACTTTGAGGGATATCTTCAGCTCTGTATACTTTCAGTGAGAAGACGGCTGGGCGCAGCATCACACCTGAAGGCTGCAGCAAATTTCTGAAACAATCATGCATAAGTGCGGTTGTTTAAAAACATGTATTGAATTTACAATGCCTAGACCTGGAATCCCAGATATATGAGGAAAGTGTTTGTTACAATAACAAAATATGTATTTAAATAGACCAGTTGACTGACTGACTTCATGCCTGTTTTGATAGCACAATACAATTGACTGAGACTTCTGTTGTTATTCTGCTGAGGTTGGATACTCCTGTAATCCTAGTCCACTGCAGGTTATCCTCAGCTTTATCTTAGTTTGTCCCAACACACAATAAATGACAAAAGAGAGGTATCATGAGCAAATAAAACCACAACACAGGACAATATCCAGATTCTTTAGATCCAGAGTATATGCAAAAGCAATTGCTCCACCATGCCTCCAACATGAGTATGCATTTGACAAGGTATTAAATTACAAAAATTATGCCATGAAGTCACCCACAGTTGTACATGTCCAAAAGTTTACTAGACACTTAAAAGTACTCACGACTCAATGTCATCAGTGTCATCCTCAGTTACACTTTTCGAGGTAGACTACCAAAAAAAATAACAATCATTATTTTTAATCCAAGGAGAGGTTGTATTGTATGTGCCTGGATAAGACAACTGGGATTCCAAACACATCATGGAACTGGGTAGGTACTTGAAATGCGAGGTAAATCTAGGTCTCAGAGTCACCTTTGGAAGCTGTTCAGTTTCAAGTCCTGACATCACCAACATTGATATGATGCACATTTAATTTTCACTCAGAAAGGGTTGATAGGTTTTAAAACCTAATAAGAAATAATGTCTGGTTGATACAAGTTATTCTGTCAGTAATAATCCAGGTATCAAAATCTACTCACCGGGGCTTCATCTCCAGGACCCAGGACCATAACAGTGACTTTGACATAACCCTGGAAAAAATTGATACTGAAAATAAGACATGTATTAAGACACAGGAATAACAGTGAAGAAAAAGAAACAAAAAAGTAGATGCCAAGAAAAGAGGGATGTTGCAAGTATAACAAGAAGAGAATGGGAAACCAAATTATAAAAGCCATAGAACTGACCAAAACATGCAGGTACAGGCAGTTATTGGTGAAAAGGAATCAAACATTTACTACAATTTATTTAACTATATTTAGCACTTTAACTCAAAACAAATTATACATTTTATTAACATTATGTCTGTTGGATTAATTTCTAACCCTCAAACAGTGCACCAGAAGTTAACAATATTTTCAACAATTTAATAGTTTAATTCTATCTAAGAATATTATTATTTTAAATGTCCTTTAGGGTAATATAGAAACTACCTCTATTTAATACTGTCATACTAAGAATTTCAATTGATTTATAATGATACTGACACTTAATTGTTCTTGTAAGTGATCTTTATTTTACTGTTAATGTTGGATCATATTACAATGAAACATGGCAGGAAAATAGCAAAAAGTATGTGGGAAAACACACTTCAATTACAAACTAATCTCTAAATCTTTTTCAAAGTCCAAACACAGCTTTATAATTGTACATGTATATATAAATAGTAGAAATAGCTTGGTAATTGTATATGAGAGTTACTTTGCAAATCCATTCATGTGATTGCCTACATTATTTTTTAATTGTTAACCAAAGATGCATTAAGTCACATGTAAGCATCCATTTTACTTAATGAATAAACTAATCCGTAAGACTCTTGCACAATACATTTAAGTATCCTCTAATGTTGTTTACATGAGGAAGATCAGCATTATTATCTCAAATTACAAGAACCTGACATGTGTCAAAAAAACAAAGAACAAATTAAGGTGATTATATTTTTTTCTACATAAATTTAATACATTAAACATAATGAACCTGCAATTAGCATTAGTATTAAATTACATAACGCTTTAACTTTGCCCTAAATGTTTCTGCAAATATATTGATGCAGTCAAAAATTAGAGATCTTTAGATCTGAAGATGACCACGAGGATAACTGAGATTTTTATGATATGTCCACATACACACACTGATCAATGCACTAGCTACCATGTCCTCTTGCAACCCAGTCAACTCGTTCCTCCATGTCATCAACAAAAACATTTCTAGCAAAAGTGTCTCCTCAAGATGACGTGTTTTCCAAAGGTGAGTTGTATATGGTTCTTTGACCTTATTTTCTATGAAAAGCAAAGATTATGGTGCAAAACGTATTATAAACTGTTCCTCAACTTTGTTGCCAAATCTAAAGATCTCTGAAGACATCCAAATTGGACTGACTGTGTCTGGTAANTTTACTGTTAATGTTGGATCATATTACAATGAAACATGGCAGGAAAATAGCAAAAAGTATGTGGGAAAACACACTTCAATTACAAACTAATCTCTAAATCTTTTTCAAAGTCCAAACACAACTTTATAATTGTACATGTATGTACAAATAGTAGAAATAGCTCAGTAATTGTATATGAGAGTTACTTTGCAAATCCATTCATGTGATTACCTACATTATTTTTTAATTGTTAACCAACGATACATTAAGTCACATTTGGAGCACTAAAGTTCAGAATTTTTAAATGTAAGCATCCATTTTACTTAATGAATAAATTAATTCTTAACTTATAAGACTCTTGCACAATACAATTAAGTATCCTTTAACGTTGTTTACATGAGGAAGATCAGCATTATTATCTCACATTACAAGACCCTGACATGTGTCAAAAAAACTTTAACAAAGAACAAGTTAAGGTGATTATATTTTTTTTCTACATAAATTCAATACGTTAAACATAATGAACCTGCTAGTTAGCATTAGTATTAAATAACATAATGCTTTAACTTTGCCCTAAATGTTTCTGCAAATATATGGATGCAGTCAAAAATTAGAAATCTTTAGATCTGAAGACGACCACAAGGATAACTGAGATTTTTATAATATGTCCACATACACACACTGATCAATGCACTAGCTACCATGTCCTCTTGCAACCCAGTCAACTCGTTCTTCGAAAAAAGCTTTTTTATATAAAACATTATGTCATTTCAACTAGTAATCTTTAAAAAAAGGTCTTTTTGATACATTTAGAGCATAAATTGTGAAGTTCATATTTAAATCACTTTAATCTCCATTTATCAAGACTTCCTGAATAATTATTAGTTTCAGAATGAGGAAGGAAAAGTATTCTCAGCTTTAAAATTTGGATAATTTATGAATCACTAACATGTAGCAAAATTCAATTAAAAAGATTTAAACGTTTCATTGTCATCTAATGCTGTTTTAACAGAATCAATGTTCAGCTGGCTAGTCAAGGGGTGTCAGATTACAAAAACCATGATAAAGTAACTTGTAAGATATTTACTGCTGGAATTCCGCCCATTTTTCTGCCAGATGCTCCTCGTGACTTCCCTGTGTTGGGCGTCTCATTGTCTTCGTCCTCATCCTGATATTTTAATTAGGCACTTACATAATAAGTAAAAGTATACTACAACAACTTTTTTCATCTTTCACTCTACAGACATTTCTACAACACACCCATCTTTATAACTTGAGATAAAATAAGTCAAAGTGCCTTTGATGCAACTGCAGCTGCATGGATTTATAAACAATTATTATAGCTGTCAGTCTCAATTAAATAGAATTTGGTGCAAAAGATATTGAATCTAAATCCAATCACTGCAATCAAAATAAACTTCATCAAAGACATATATGACTATTGTACATACATCAAACCACGCAAGATTGTGATGCAGTTCCTTCACTGATCACCACTTGGTGTTCACACAGAGAATGCATGCACATAGATCCAATTCAAATGCCCCACAATCATAGCATTTACTAATTTAATAAAATTACTAACATATTATTAGTGCTTTGCTAGACTCAATCATTTAGTTATGCTAATACATAAGAAGTATAGTCGGTGATCTGGAGTAATAGACATTAAACTTTACACAACCAGATCAATCATCAAGATTACAAGCATTAAGCCCACATTTTCAGGCTTTTCCCTTCTGTGAATCAACTGTGGATGGTGTGTTTCAACTGCAAAATGTCTGATTCCAGAAGATATCCATACCAACCCAAAGGAGGATTATTGGTAATTCAGAGGGGGAAAGGTCCCAAAAAACAAAATATTTGAAGGAAAGTATGAACCAAAACTGGAAATGATGGGGGAGGGTTCATACCAAGACAACCTTCTTGGGAGAGGTATGGATATTTTCTGGAACAATACAATTGGCAAGAGCAAGATTAAACAACAATCAAATAGCTCCCTTTGAGGTTTTATGAACTTTAATAGCTTTTGGAATTCATTCAACTATCAGCCAATGATAGTTTGAGCCTGTAGAGCAATTTTTATAAATGGTTATGCCAAGATGGGCTTCATTGACATTCCACTGTATAATTGCACTAGTTACTCTTTATAATATTATAACAGTTTTACCATGATAATTATAATCTGTATCTTTCAACTATACTAACAAAGTCTGACATAACAATTAACGAAATTAACACATTAAAATCACAGATTAAACTTAATTTCCCTGCCGCATTTTCATAATATTATACATGTACATACAAAATAGTAAGGATCTAAAATTTTTTGTATTCACTTCCCATGAGTGCAATGTTATTTTCCATTTAAAAATACAAACTTCTGCAAAGGACACAGACAGTTTGCATCATTAACAAAGAACTACATGTCACACGCGAGAATTGGCTGGAAAGACTGTTTCATAATCACTTGCAGTAAGTATAGTCATATAATTAATATGCTGCCTTAACTGCTTTCAACCAATTTTAGTACACAATATAATTTTCAATTGGCAATCTCAACTTTGACATCATGGTTAGTCAAAACTGACTATAACTACAATATTATTTGAAGTCAGGTGCTATTGTGAGACAAAAAATATCAATGTAAAATAAAGTTAACTTTGAATTGCAGTCCTACTCAGTTCTACCAGACATGAAAATCACCTCATCAATTAATCTAACTGCTTAAGGGTGCTCTACAAAATAATTTTACACAGAGGATGCTTAGCTACTATGTGTTACTCCAATCACTAGCTGAAGAACATTTTCCCTGTCCAACCTGTCATTCAATGTAATCACCTGACAATTAGCCAAACAAGTGCCAGGATGGTTGACTAGAGGATAATTTAATTTGTCCTCAAGGTATATGCATGACAAATTGACAAAGGCACATGCCAGATAACTGTCAAGCAAGAAAACTGCCAAGCATGCCAGATAATTGCCATACATAATGTGCAATGCTGTACCAAAGTGATAATGTACAATTTACTGTACTCTTTGTATCTTGATCTGCACTATAAATAAGTTTGCTGGAATATGGCAAAACTCATGAGGTATCACTTTCATAATGTCTTTCCAAGTTGCTCTTACCTTAACCCCAGCCATCTTGTCATCAGGATCAGTAAGTAAAACCCATTTCCGCACAACAGCATGGGCTGTAACAACAAGTGAGATAACATTTATTCAATTGTTTCTCTGAAATGATTGTGACAAGCTCATTTACATGTAACAAATTTCATTGGTTTGAATAACCTTATATATCATGACCATTTCCTCTGGTGCTTCAAGAGGAATCCCCCTGTGATCAAGTCAGTAACTATTAAATTAAATACAGTAACAACAATACAGAATACTCAAGAAGGTGCCCACAGAGATACATAATGTCATGGAACTTCACCCCTTGAGGCACAGATAAGGTTTGATTTGATGTGACAGTCTTGATTATAAGGAAAAGCAGAGGACCAATTAGGCAGAATTCAGACAGACTGTACACACTGTACAATGGAACCCTATTAACAAATACCTTTGGGTCATACATGTAAAACTGTGACTGTATTGAATCAAAGGGTTCTAAAATTAAGAAAATGACTTCAGTGAGCTTTTTCTTCATGCCAAAAAAGTAGCATCAAAAGAGTGGTTATAAGGTGGTGTTCTATTGTATTTACCACTGACAGTATTATATAGGTAATTATATTTCTTAAAGGAGCTCAGTCATGGTATTTTGCCCATGAACAAAATGACCTTTTCATTGAAGGAAACCTGAAAATAGTAGTTTACTAAGATAGAAAAACACCAAAGATATAATAATAATAAAACCTTAAAGGAACAAGGATGGTTGAAGATGGAGAGGATTAACACTGATTAGAAACCCCGAACTTGAAAAATTTAGGCTGAATTTCTCTACATGCGCAAACTGTGATGTACATGTACATGTAGCCCCTTTAATTTCAACACATTCCTGTGGCAAGATGTTTTGGCTTCATTGGTCTTCTCACTGAACTTTTAAGTCATCTAATATGACCTAAAAAACCAGTATGTATTAAGGGAATGATTTCAATGGACTTCAATCACCTCGTTATGACAACATTCCTGTAAGAAAAGTGTGATCATCAAATCTCTCACTCTACAGTACTTACCTGGCTCATCATAGAAAAAGCCAATATCACTCTGAAAAGGAGACCCAAAAGTAATCATTTACAGAATGCTGAATCACACAATGTTCTCATATAAAGTACAGTTACAAAGAGGTAAATCTGAATCTGATTATTTCCCTTTCTACACTTTTCCTGGAACAATTCATTGATCCATAAAACACCTACATCACTGACACGTAGGAACACTGGCATTTTTAATAACCCTCCCTCTCACTCTCACCTTCAGTGTTGTTTAGAAACTTCAGGCAAAATGCACTGAATGTAAGGAGTTCAGATACACTGTGCTATCCAAACATTGAAATGTGTAGTTCCAGAAAATATCCCCTCCTCCCACACCTTGTCCCAGTCCGTCTACAGGGGGTAAGACCCCCTACCCTCTGGAAATTCCAATTAAGTTTCATAGATTTCTTTAATTGTTTTGGTTTTACAGAGCCCTCCACCCCTAGGAAATTCCAATCTCCTATGTGGGGGCAGTATGGATGATGTCCAGTGATCTTAGGGCTGACTTTTTTTTCTGTTGCCAAGACAACACTAGAAAGGTTGTATAAAAGAAGGGGCAGATGCCTTTGTTTTATAGTGTAAATATATTAATTTA